TGGGGGTGGGGGTACCACTGGGCTCGTCTCCTGACCATGAGCATTCTAGGGCAGGGATCAGGTTCACAGCTAGCCTATTTTCCACACCTCCGAGGAAATGTGCTTCATAAATAAGTAACCATACCTGAGCTGCTATGCAAATACGCTCAGCTCTGTGCTCGGAGCAGCCAGGTTCACTTTTCCACTAGCTCTTCTCTCCCTCTGAGCATATTTACACAACTCATTCATCACGGTCTGTCATTACCTAAGGAGACGAGCAGCCTGGAAAAGAAAGGACAGTTTGAAGGGGCTTTACCAGGTGTCCCTGAGTCTGAGTTCCTTTCCAGGGCCAACATTTACCCTGGCTGGATTCAGGCAAAAAAAAAAAACACAACCCAAAAAGATAACTGCTACAGAGAATACCAACAGTGACAGCTAAATCCATTTAGATTAAGAAGGGAGGGAGGCCGGCGGAATGAAAGCAGCAGGAAGCTCTCCTGCTGCAGTGGACTCCCTTGAGCATTTCAAATTCAGCTCAATGCAAGTCCTGACTCATTGTCACTCACCTCACCAGAGAGCCTCCCTCTACACCTTCACTCCCCCAAACATGCCAGACTATCCATAACTAATCCCACGTCGCATTTATCTGGGAAAGGAGGCTGGGATTCTACGTGGGAGTGACAGTAAGCAAAAACTAAGTAGAGAGCCTGGCATTCCTTCTTGTTTCCATTTCCTTTTGTGAAAATCCTTCACATAAAAAAGTCATTGAATATTGGAGTTAGAAGAGATGTTGGGGATCACTTAGTCCCACGGCCTCTCCTCATTTTAGAGAGCTAATCAAGAAGACAGGCGTTGGCACAGCCGCGCAAACTGGTGGCCGAGCTAGGCCAGGCTCCAGCCCAGCGTTCCGTGGGCTGCGCTGCTGCGCTGGGAATTCATGCACCGGGCATGGGCAGGAAGCAAGGGGGATACGTGCCCACTGAGGGAATAATGGAAACACTCTAAAGAGGAAGAAACCAGCTGGCATGTGGCTTGCCATCTAGGCTGGCAGCCACTCATTTCAAACTGAGAGCAGGTGAATCTGCCCGATGAGAGTTGAAGGAGGGAAATGAGGAAGAGGAGGGAGGGAGGAAAGTGCATTTCAGAACAAACAGAACCTGTGACTCTGCATTACTCCCGTGTATGAGGGTGGCAAGGGCCGGATGGAATGAGGCTACAGGAAACATGTCCCTGAAGAAGGGAAAATACTTCTCGTGTAAATAAGGGTAAAGGCAAATTTCAGACGTGAGCAGAAGACAGGGAAAGCTGCTCGTGGTGACACAGTGATGTGCCCCCAGACCCGCTTTCCTGAGTGAAGGGTTTATTCCCCTGCCAGCTGGGAATGCTGCTGGAAGACCCTCAGCTGTCAGCCCCCTCTGGGGAGTGCCTGGGCTAAAGGAAGCTGCCCTGCCCCAGGTCATGCCGTCTCCATCCAGCGGCACATCCATAGGAGTATAAAGGCTGGCCCTCTTGGCCCAACTGGGGACCTCTCAGAGGGCCCATCCCAGCCTCAGAGCTTTCCATGTGATCAGCTCAATCCTTCGCTGGGATTGTTTCAGAGCTTCACTTCTCCCTCTGCCCAATCCTGCCGTTCTGCCCTCCCCTCCACAGTGCTGGTACGAAGGGCACTTCCTAGGGAACAGCCTGCACACAAATCTCCACCTGACAGGCCTGTGAACCCTAATGACACTGCTTATCTAAGGGAATACACGGAGCCCCACTGAAGGCAGGGAGAAACTCTGTCGAATCTGGTCAAATAACTCACACCTGTGAAGGAACACTGCCCAAGTCCTGCTTTAGAGAACGAAGTTCAACTCTGTCTAGGTGACAGGTTGTCACCTCACGGCCAACCACAACATATGTATTGAGCCATCCAAGTACCAGAGCAGAGACTGAAAAGGCCCCAAGCAGGACCACACCCTCCCTGAGCCATACAGGCAGGGACAATTTCAGGCAATTCTTAAAGACCTTTAACGAAGATTCTAAAACCACCTCCGTACTGACACCCCTTGTAAAGTTCATAAACCTTAACTATCAGAAATGTCCCCTGCAATATATTTAAATCCCTCACACCCTGTATTAATTTCTTTTTGTTATCTTAGGCAGAGGCAGAAAACTTTCAGAAGCGTCTCTGTTGAGGAGCCCGTTATGCTTCATCTCAGCCTTTTCTTCAAGGTGGATGACCCCATTCCCACTCATTTTTTTCCGCAAAAGGTCATGGTTTCGGTCCCGCCACCATCTCTGTGGCTTTCTGTAAAGGTCACAAAGGAACCTCTTTCAAATCCCGATTTGAATGTTAGTTTAATGGCTATGCCAATTTCTCACCTTTCAGAGCCAACTTTATCACCCTGTGTGGCAGAGGCACTCCATTACAATAACAAGTCGCCATCTATAAGCCTGCAGGGCCCTTGGCTTGGCTTCCACTCTTCACAGCAGGCATTCCCACAGCCTGGGGATCTTGACAGAGCTTCTCACTGAAGAGGGAGGGATCCAGAGTTGAGAAGAAGAAACATTAAACCTGAGGCTGCGTGGTTCCCAGCAACAGAGAAGCCACTGTGCCCCCAGAGAACAGGCCGGGGAGGGATTCTGCAGAACTGGGCCAGAGGCAGGCAGCTCATGTTTGGGGATATGTGCTTCTGCCTCTGAGGGAAATCTGAGCATGTTATTCACTTCTTTCTTGCCAAGAATTCTTGAGATAGTTAGATTTCTTAGTCGTGAATTGAAAGTAAGATAAGTCCTATTTTATTCATTTGTTTTCCTGCACTTACCTCAGCACACTTTCTGGATCTGCATGAAAATAACAATTTAGGAGAAAGAAATCAAGGAGGTACATTACTTTACTTTGCTATCTTTGATCCTATTTTGCAGGAGAACCACCCAGTAATTATTATGTGTAGCTGTGGATTGGCAGAGTTTGGGAAAACTGGTGGATTTCAACCGCTTGGCAAGGCAGGCCTGGACGGTTCCGCTCGGCTCGGCAGGTCGGGGCGGCAGGGAGCGCCACCGGCCTCCAGTGGGCAGAGGCCAGAATGCAGCGGGACCGCCTGCCGCGCCGGGCAGCCGCGCTCCAAATGCTGGTAGCCCTGAGATTGAGAAAGCCCGACTCACAAACAACCCCGTGTCCTCCCAAATGTTTTCACCTCTTCAGGAGATTCAGGCATTGTTGTTTGTTGTTTCTCCTCCTCTTGACACTCGGCTGGCTGGAGAAATCACAAGCTCAGTGTAACAAAGATAAGTGAAAACAGGCTTGCCCTTGGTTCCGGGGCTCCCTTCAAAAGGTAGGTGCTGTGTGGGGATCTGTGAGCAGGCAGGCTGAGTCCTAAAGTAACAAGGGATTCTCAAAGTTACTTCTGAGGTCTGGGTCTTTTGCTCAGAGGCACCAAGAGATGCCTCTTGCTTCCAATTCTGTAATAATCTTATCTCCCCACTTTGAATCAAGGATTGAACACCGTGTAAGCAGAATAACCAGGTACGCTCTTCAGTCTGTTTTGAAACCATCTCAATGATTTTGAGAAAACAATTCCCCACAATCTCGCAGTAAATTGATCAGCCTGGAACATTTTTTGTGTATACATCTCTTACTTTTCTGAAGAATAGACTGGGCAGGTCAACATTTTTCAAAGCTAAAATTCTGGTATAAGCAACAGCTCTGCAGCCAGCTTGTGCTTCAACCCGGAACAGCACACACAGAAAAGCCAGCCAAGCGACAGGCCTGCTCAGGCACATGACAGTGTGGCATCGTGCAGGACGGGCGGGATCCTACTACAATACGGCCTTTGAAATGTCTTGAAAAGAAACCCTATGTCTAGAAAACAAAGCCTTCATCTCCGGGCCCCCTTTCGCCCCACCCTCACTCCTGCTTCAACTGAAAAGCTCCAAGAGAAAAAGTGCTAGAATTTTAAAATATTTTATGTAGAGCAACTTTTTTTCTTTAAAGGGCCATCCTTCTAAGAACAGAAATCCCCCAAAAATGGTCCTCAAGGAGTATTCTGGGAAGATGCAGGAGTAGAACTTCAGCAATTGCACCAGCAGGTTCAGTCTGGCAGAACTATTCTGGAAGCCTGGAGTCTACGGAAGGCTTGGAACTTCCAGGGGAGGCTCAGTGGTAAATTGCGGTTAACTTCAGGAGGTGCGACTGCCCATATTTTACAAAGAGTAAAAGGTAGGACCAGAACTGGAATACAAGATTCTCTGATTCCATGTTAGTATTTTTAAACTATAAAGTAAAAAAAACCACACATTCAATTTAAATTCAGGAAAGGAAAACGTATGCTTCTTACTCTTATTCTATCTCACAGCAGCTCATTTTTACCGTTCTATGATCAAGGCTGACATTCAGCTGGGCTCTGCTGTGGCATCAGGGCTGAAAGCTGTTCTGATTAGTCGGGTATCTGTTCTGTTTGATCGGTGCCTGTGTCATACTGACCACTAAATACTTTGAATATCACACCTGCCCATGACACAGAATTCTTGAGTTTTTAATGCTTATTTAGATACTTGAAATCATCCAAAACCACTTCTTATGACTTATTTTCTGTGCTTACAGGTATCCCAGGTCTACTTCTTTGCAAAATTTGGCTGGTCCCCTCTGTAAGTTAGAACATGTTAAGATTCCCAATTTTCATAGAAGCCTAACATTCCCATTTATATATACCAAAGTATGGGGCACATCTTTAAATCAGTAGTACCAGTGAATCCAACATTGAAATGACATCTTGTCTTTCTTGCTTAAAGTCAGGTTCGTGGCATTTGATACTTGGGAAATCAGTCTAACAGGCAGGATACAATCACACCTTCCTCAGTTCTTGCTATCACATTAGATTACCAGAAAGGAGCATACCTACACATTAGCTTACACCCTTAGCCAGAAATATCTAAACTGAGTTTTATACAGTTATATTCATGGATTTTATCAAGATTCAAGAAATGACCATATAGAAAGAAAAGCAACAATGTAAATGTTTCAAAAACAAACCTAAATGTCATCATACCAAAGAAGCATGATTTATTTCTGAGAGCTTCATACTCTAGATTTTTTGTTAGTTATTTCAAAATCAGTTTGCCCAACCAACATAGAAAATGTTGTAGAAGCTCCCTCAGCTGGTTAAGATACAGAACTACCAAAAAACATGTTGCATTAAGTTGACTGTATCATCCTCTTCAGAAATTTCTGTAACTCCAGCCTGAGATCGAAGAATGGACATGATGTCATCACACAATCTTTCAAAGCCATTCTGTGAACATATATTTGCCATTTCTTGCCACTTTTCTAGGCAGCAAAATGGATCATTTATCATAAGATATTCTATGGCATCTAAGGGAAAAAATACAATATTATAATATAAGTATGGCATTTATTCTTACTTGATAACCCACACTCAGCAACTGCTCACGATAGAAAGCGCTGCAGTTCCGACTCAGCGGCTGTGCCTCCAGTGCCTGAGCCCTGGAGGCTGAATGTGGAGCTTAGCCCAGCTCCGGAGCTCCCTTCTCCAGCTCTGGCTCCGTGAGCCTCTTCAGGCCTCGCCGTGGTCGGTCAGCAGGTGCTCAAGGTGAGCAGGGAGAGAGCTCGGAGGGGGAGCGCGGGCACCACCGGGAACTATCAAGTGACGGAGAGCTTACTGGTCTGCTTTCCATGACCCTTCAAACACTTCTGTAGATGCCCTAGTAGTGCTGACCCAAAGGCTGAAAGAGCTCCATCCTATGTCTAGATAGAAACCTCTTAATGATGGGGCTTCTATAACAAATATTTTTCTAAGGGAAATAATATTATTTACTTTTGAAAATCAATTTTAGTGACCCTCTTTGGAAGATACTTATTTATGGAACTCATTTCTTATCTATTACTTGCATTGCTTAACAATACGTAATGAAATGTTTTCATTCTAGAATATTGTAATTGTAATCACTATTATTTTGTTTCTACCATGATCATTATTTTTCCATCAAATAAAATATTTTAGTTAATATCTGTAATGATAATTTCAAAATTATCTTCCCCAATGTTTTCATGTAATTTACTATTCTTTCTTTAACCCCATATAATAATTTAAAATCAAGTTGTCTGCTCAAGTTCTTATATTAAAAGAGAGATTTTCAATGGGTGTGCTGCAAGAATTTTTAAAACATGCAATACCTGACTATTTAGTCAGGGGCACTGACCTGTCTTCCCTTAGATTGTCAAATTTAAAAATGACACCCAACATAACAGTAGCCATCTGGTGTGAATGAATCAAAATTATACACCCCCCCCTTTATTTTCAGATCGGTAAAAAAATATATATTTTGGTGTGCCGCAGAATTTTAGTAATTAGTTTATGTGTGCCACGAGATGAAAAAGGTTGAAAATCGCTGCATTAGAGAAAGGAGTGAGATATAATTATTTTTGATCCCACTACAGAATAGCTTCAAAAAATACCATATATTATTGTTATTTACATATATATTTAAGAATAAAAATATAAAGCTTATGTCTAAACACTTAAAATACATATTAAAATTACTAAATATACACATATGCTAAGATGTATAAAGTTTTTATAGTGTTAGCTATTATAAGTATTATGATGTTCCCCTCAAGCTTCATAAAGATTCTTTCTTCAATCAAATCCCCTCAAAAAATATATACTGTTGCTAACAGACTATCATTGACACGGTGATCTTTATAAACTAAAGTTAACTGTTGCCAAGAAGGAACTCTTAGATTGAATTAACTCAAACATAATAATCTTGAACCTTTCCACTACTATTTCTTCCACAACATTTTACTCTACTTACCTTTCCCACCTTTATTTATTTCATGAAGTAGCTTAATGCCAACTTTTTTCATATCTACAGAGAATAGATGAAGTATAGCAAGACCAAAAGATAAAAGTGGTGGTTTCCCATTCCTTTCTTTAGTGAGACACTGAATTAATTCATAGTGGGGACATAACTTTATTAGCTGCATCAGGTCATCTGAAAGCAAAAATGGAAAACTGTGTCTCAACATCCTAATATGATACTAGAAACTGAAATCAGCTAATGTTTATACCTGCTAATCAACACTTCTTTTTCCAATCCTTCCAAAGCCCTCAATGGATAGGACTTACACTCACAAGACAAAATATCTTGCTCAGCATAGCAAAAAAACAAAGGAAAGTTACCTATAACAAAGAGCACCAGAAAAAAAGTTTATCAAAGAACCATCATGAAAAGAAATGTGGTACAATAAAAAGGATTAGATCGTCAATCAGGAAACCCGAATTCTCATCAGCGCTCCATCAGTGACTTAATATTTTGGATCTCAGTTTCTGCATCTTAAAAGTACTAGACTTGTTATCTTCAATTTCTAAGGTTCCACCTAATACTATGTTATGTTTGACTATATCTTGTTGCTCATATTTGGGATAACTTCTAGTGAATATAATGTCTTTCTTTCTGTGCCTGCACAGAAAAGGGGCCTCAGTAATTTTTTTCCTAAAAATATCAAATATTTAGAAACTCAAAAATGAAAACAATTTTAAAAACATATCTTTATTGATTTTAGAGAGAGAGATAGAAACATCAATGATGAGTCATTGATCGGCTGCAGCCTGCAACCCGGGCTTGTGGGCATGTGCCCTGACCGGGAATTGAACCCCGATCACCTGGGTCCCAGGGTCAACGCTCAACCGCTGAGCCACGCCCGGCCAGGCTGAAGATTTTAAGAAGCCATTAGCTAGTTCAAGTAGGTAGAGGTTGAGCCATATGAAGTTGCTTACATTTGACCATTTTTTACTCCAAAAAAAGCAATTTCATACGGATTAATCTATTGGTTAAACATTGAGGTAATCTAAAGCTACTCTCATGATTTATATTCTTAAAATATAAACTTTGTGTTAACTTCCTTAATTTTTTTAAAGTAAAAGTATTCTTCTTGGGCTACAATGCAGATAATTTTCAGAATAATTTCTGAGAGCTTTCCAAGAACTATTAGAAACATAATTTGCACTCTGAAAGGCAATACAAAGTAATCTAGTGTTTATTAAATGCATACTGTACTGAGGCCTTACATTTAATATTCAGTATAAGTGAGATACTATTATTCTCATATTACAAGTGAGGAAACAGACTTAGAGAAGTTAATTTTCCCAGATTATACATATTGTATAAAGTAGAACAGTTCGTCTGATATCCAGAGTATATGACCTTCCAATCTACAGTGCTGTTCCTTCAAAACAATAACTACATGTGTGTGTGCATTGAATGTGTGTACATAGAAATACGCATGCATGCACATACACATATACAGAGAAATGGCAAAAGAGGAAGGAATAGCAGAAAATAATTCAATATTGATGCACTCAAACAACTGCAACCTCTGTGTTTCAAATTTTGAAATGAATTTTATTTCACCAATTCTTCATTTCTAATGCTTATATCATAATTCAGAACATTATATATGACAAATAAGTTCAGTATTTTTAAAGTTCAGTATTTTAAGTTGCATGACACAACATATCTGCAAAATTTTTTTTTTAAATTTTATTATTGTTTAAAATATTACAGATGTCCCTTTTTCTCCCCAATGACCCGTTCCACCCCGTTCCTTCCCCCTCCCCAGTCCCTCTCCCCACCATTGTCCATGTCCTTGGGTTGTGTATATATGCATATAAATTCTTTGGTTACTCTCTCCCCCTCCACCCACCCGCCCTCCTCCATCCCTCTGACATTCATCAGTCTCATCTATGCTTCCACATCATTGAATCTATTCTGCTCATCAGTTTATTAAGTTCTTTAGATTCCACGTATAAGCGAGATCATGTGATATTTGTTGCAAAATTTATCTTTAAAACTGTGTGTTTCAGGACCATCCAGTTTATTAAATGTTTATATACTGAGAAAATACATAATGTATTTGAATGTCAAGCATGAAAGTCAATCTGCTTCAGCTTAACTGTTTTACTAAAATTACAAAAGAAATCTATTAGTATATGTAAAATGGACTTTATAATGTAAAGCCAAACTATTGCCTACTAACATGGGTGATCTTATAATTAAAGTCCAGAATTCAAGTGTATACAAATAAGTAGGCTTTGTTACTCACCAGAAGCAAAGTCCTTGAATTGTTGTATATATTCCATGGCCTCATGAATCTGACCCTGTTTACACAGGCAAAGAACAACTTTGTTGTGCAGGCTACATTCATTATAGATAATCTGAGCTAAAGCCAGGCACTTGGCCTTGTTATGAGTATCCTGCTCCCCATAATCACAAATCACATCCCCAGCCTCCTCAGAAAATGTGAGCCTAGAGCAAGGAGATCAATAAGGTACACATTAGAGAGTTCTTAATGAGATGATGAAGTATTTCAAAGTTCAGCACAGTGGAACTGGATTTTCTATGGTCTGTAAGAATTCCAAGTTAGTAGGCAATTAATGTAGGAGAAATTAAACACATCTAAAATTTAACAGCAAGAACAACAAAAATAATCAGCAAGCATTCCTTTGAGGGAAGACATTTTGCCAAAACGGAGCTAAATCATTAAGAAATCTACAAACACTGGGTGGAGGTGGGCAAAGTGGGGTGGGAAATGGGTGACATCTGTAATAGTGTCAACAATGTAAAAAAAATCTACAAACAATGTTAAAACTATCCCGAAAAGATTGGTGAGAGCTGTGGAAGTAGTAGCAGCCAGTCAGTGGTATTTGGCATGGGTTCTGGGCCACCTATTCATGAAGCTTACTGTGTGCTCTGGACCTGCTTGAACATGACCTTGGTTGTATCTGATTTTGGATGGGCTCCTCTGAGCCCACCTGATCTTATGACTTGGTGAGTCTGTCAGAATACAGTTCATGATGAGCAGTTCTTGTTGCACAGTCATTGATGTTCCATGGATAAACACTCCAACTTTAGCAGGACCCAGTAGTTGCTTTTCAAATGGTATATAGTTGTCTGTTACACACAGCAGATGATCTACTGGGATATCTCTGGGTAGTCCCATGCCAGCTCAAAATTACTAGTGGGTAAATCAATACCCATAGTTTGATAAAGGCATGGTAACCACAGTCAACCTACCAGACAAACCATCAAGATCAACAGAAGTATAAGAGTGAAAAGAATCTAAAATGGATAATAGAGGAGAAAGATGATGAATACTAATTCATACTGATAAATCTCAAGATAATTATAAGTACAAGAAGCCAGACCAAGAAGAAAAACAATACATAATGTATGATTTTGTTTATATAAAATTCTAGAAAATGCAAACTAATCTATAGTGACAGAAAGCAGATCAGTGGTTACCTGGAGACGGGGAGGGATATGGAATGAGGGGATGGAAGGAAGGAGGGGGCATTATAAAGGGACATAAGGAACATTTGAAGGTCATAGATATGTTTATTATCTTGATTCTGGTAATTTCATGGGCGTATATATATGTCAAAACTTTTCAAATTGTACACTTTAAACATGTGCAGTTTATTATGTGTCAATTATATCTCCATAATGCTGTTTTTAAAAAACTCATCAAATTGTATACTTTAAACATGTATAGGTTACTGTATGTAAATTAAATCTCAATAAAATTGTAAAAAACAAATTATAGTTTAGAGAAAACTATTAAATTTTTGAGAACAACCAACATTAACCAAATATCAAAATTAAGTTTAATTTTGCTCACCTTTCCTGAGTGACCCAATTAATAACTAAATCTAAACGCTTTTCAGATAATCCACATTTGATTCCTTCCAGGGTTAGTTCTGCATTAATAGGCCGTCGATAGGCTTGGCTTGTCCTAAAGATAGCCTCAAAAAATAAGAGTAATGGATAAGGCTTTCCTCTAATTTTTCCAGCAGCTACAGAGAGAAGAACAGTTTTTAAGTTAAATATTTTAATTTAATAGTCCGCTTTTTCTTACTTCATATCATTTTCATTTCTTTGTGTTTTCTAAAAAATTTTAATCTGATGGTTATGGATTAAACCTTATATTTTGGATAATGACTAACCCTTACATGCTATGTGAAAACCAAGGCAGAAATTGGAGTGATGTGTCTATAAACCAAGGAATGCCAAACATTGTTGACAGCCACCTAGAAGCATGGACTGGAATCTCCCTCAGAGCCTCCAGAAGGAGCCTGAAAAAGCTGAAAGGCTATACCACCAGCATATCTGCACTATAAGAAATGTTAAAGGTAGTCTCTCGAGCACTGAGCCATGCCTGCCTGGGCCTCAAACTGTGTACTTTAAACAGGTATTACAGAAACCCATACCTGAAACCTATATGTTCATATTATCCATTGTCACACCAATAAATTTAATAAAAATTTAAAAAATAAATAGGTATTATTTGTTATATATGTATCAACTTACAACAACAAAGCTGTTTTTATTTATTTATTATTTTATTTTATTTTTTAAATATATCTTTATTGATTTCAGAGAGAGGAAAGGAGAGGGAGAGAGATAGATAGAAACATCAATGATGAGAGAGTCATTGATCGAGCCCGCAACCCAGGCACGTGCCCTGACTGGGAATCGAACCCCGATCGCCTGGATCCTAGGTCGATGCTCAACCGCTGAGCCACGCCCGGCCGGGCAACAAAGCTGTTTTTAAAAGTGTAACAAATTTGACAGAACATTTACATTTATTAAATCTTAATAGTGAGTACATGACTGTTATGTTTCTCCATACTTTTCTGTATACTTGACATATTTCATAATTTAATTTATAAAACCTAATCAAACCTTTTAATGTCACATCTAAGGAAACTGAGTAAATGGTAGAGATAAGACTGGAACCTAGATCTTTAGTGTCCCAGTTCAGTACTCCTTCCATCCTATCAGGGGGGGAAAGCATAATCCGCATACATATATCAGGTTCAGAGAGAAATGCTTACCCTTAAATTTATTCACTGTCCCCATGTTTTCAAGAATTCTTCTAGGACTGTTCGCTGCAAAACAAGCTGCCTTCTCATATTCACCAAGTAAGATTAATTCGTTGAACCTACAGCCATTGCATTTCATTACACACACAAAAAAGAAAACTGATTAGAAATGTCTAATACAGACTGAACATAGTGGCACAGTAGTATAGAAAAGCAATTCTAATCAGTTTTAACTAGATTCATTCACTCTGTAAGATGTCCTTTCACTTCTTTCCCTAATATTGTCATTTTTATAGCCTCAGAATAAAACTCTCATCTGCCAGCTGACTTTGAACCTGATCTTATACTTTATTCATATAGTATTTACAGCAAGCCACAGAAAATGGACAGAACTTGAGGTGAATTTACAAGAGCTCAGATTTTTTTCTCTCATGTCCTCTCCAGACAAAAGGGGGTATCAGGGGAAAGAAGGGCAACCTGCTCAGAGGCTCACCTACAGGAAATATGAAACACAAAGGCTGCCAAGTGGAAGACCAAGAGGTGTCCTTGGCATTCAGAGGCCTACGTCGCTCTGCCAGGCATCAGACTCCCAGTTACACTGAGACTAACACAAGAAGAAAAGGTAACAGTTCAAAGAGCTCAAGCCTCTACTCCTCTCCCTAGGGCAGAATGTCTTCACATCAGCCCTAACCTCACAATTAATAAAACTATGGCAAATGCGATTTACAGTGTTGCAAATGAATGTAGAACCCCAGAGAGAAAAATACCAAAGCAAAATAGCATTAAGCAAAACACATAAAACTTTTAACCTCGGCAAGGGTTTTTCCTCTCATACCTAAAGCTGGTAGACTTAGAGAAGCAGACAGCGTAAGGAAATAACATGGGCTTTGGTACCTCCCCATATAATCTTCACTCCTTATTTGTATCATATTAACATGCAAATTAGCAATTGAAAACTGTTTAACATGTAAGATTAGGAATATCACATATGTTCATTACATATTGACCTTATACCTATGAATTAACCTCTTAAAGAATAAAATCTTAAATTTCTTTAAGCTTCTATTATACACTATATATAATAACAAGTATGGGATAAAAATATGCCTTATTCATATGTCATAAGATGAAAATAATGAGAAAAAAAGACTGAATTAGTTAGGATAATCTGACACAAGACATTCTCAAAAACATTTTGTAACATCAAAGTGATGGTGAGGGAATGCAAGAAAAATGTAAATAAAACTTAAATCAACACTACAATCCACATATATCCTCTGAAATGTTTCCTAGACTACCAATCTAGTATTTTTTCACAAAAAATCTATTTTTAAAAATTCTAGCTTATTTTCTAATGTGTCTACTAGAGTAAAAAATCATTTTTTTGCAATGCCTAGACCATGAATGCAGAAGAGATGAAACGGTTATTCCATCTCAATTTACAATGGTCCAATGCTATTCTATCCCATGCGTACAACTGCTCGTATCATTGAAAAGACTATAGCAGCAAATAAACAGGAAGTACTGGAGTAAAAATTTAAAGATACAAAAGCTAAAGACTGTAGCTCATCAAGATGCTAAATAAATGCTAAACATTTAATAAATATTAAATACATATTTAATGTGTATTTAAATACACATTAAATGAATGCAATATTATTTTAACAAGGAAAATCCAAGCTTTTAAAATATTTGCCTTTCAATGTAGTAAAGCAAAAGTTCAGCTTCTTTTGCCTTGCCTGGATCATAGTCACACAGTTCTTCATCAAGGTCTTGGTCACCTACAAATATTGAAAGACCACCCCCAGATGATATTTAAGGTTATAAATCAATAGAAAATAAGCATATAGATGTTTAATACCAAGGGCTTAATGCTATGGTTTCTAACAGCACCAACCTCTTCTAAGCTAAGTGGCCTCCCTTTCCCTTACTTCCTTATTTTAAGGTACATTTTCAGGTATTATCTCTTTGGCTCACCAAGTCTATTCTTTACCAATTCTCTGTCAGCTGCTGAAGGAAGAAGCCCACAGGATAACAGAGAACTAACAGAAATAAGTACATTTTTGCTTTCCTTAACTCAGCCTAGGAAAATTCCCACTCTTTAGCTTTCGGGGGGGGAGGGGGCAGGGAGAAAAGTAATGTTTCCATTATTTGTGTTAATTAAATATATACATAAACTACCTTGTAAATCTTTAGTTTTCTCAGTTTGTTTCACAAAGTCTTGAAATGAGCTGCTCTTATCAGATTTTACCCATGAATTAAGTGCACATGAAATAATCTGCAGTCTTTGATGGCTATAAAGAAAAAACATCAACAACATACTAAACCTAAAATCAAATAGTGGAATATTAGACTAAACACAAATAAAAGCTTCAGACTTTAAAAACAATCAACTTGCATACCGAAACTGTAATTCTTTGTTCAGATTTTCAGCTACATTTAATCGTTTTAATATCACAATCATTTCCTCCTCTAAATCTGCCTTCCTCTGAACTGGCATGTATTTTTTTGACATTAATTGCTTAATTTCTGCATATTTATCTTCAAGATGGTTCAGGTATTTATTGAGAGCATCTAAGTTGAAGGATTCTTCAAGAGTCAGGCCTACAGGGAGAGGGGAAAAATCAGACAAGCCAAGTCATGTGTGGGGCTCTTGAGCCAGAAGGCAAGAGAGCTCCCATCAAAAAACAGGGTAGCATGACCTTGTCTTACTGAACATAAACAGAATTAGCATACAATTTTAAATGGCTAGCAATTTTTAAACATACCAACAAAGATTCAAGGAAGGCTGATTGTCCAAACCTTAGCATCTCAAGAAAGAAAATTTTAATAACTTCATCACCACATCTTGCAAACCCCTAAATATCACTGTTACTCAATAACACTAAGAGCTTCTGCCTAACAACTCACGATTTCTGTCCAGTGATTTCTCTCTAACCAAATTTTCCATTAAACTACTACAGCTAACCCCAGGATTATGTTTATTCTCGCCAGTGCAAAACTTGTAAATGGCAGTCATCCTCCAGTCCTCTCTCCCTCTCCCTTCCTCTCCCTGAAATCAATAAAGCTATATTTAATAAATAAATAAATAAATAAATAAATAAATAAATAAATAAATAAATAAATAAATAAAGGCATACCTCAAAATTCTCCTCCAGAAGCCCCTTGGATTAATCCTACTCGATTTTAATCATCCCCTCACCCTGAATCCTCCCAGCATTAATCGATTTGCCAGTTACCCTGTACTTACTCATACGTGCCTTACCCATTCTGTTATTCATAGTTTTACATCTGAAAGGGAATCCAGCCTCTGCCTCTGCCAAACACAGCTGAAATCTTCTGGCGAGGAGTAGCTCATTATTTCAAGACATGCCTTCTTCCACTGAACCCAAATCTGACTTTCTAAAATTTCCACCTATTGATTCTGCTTCTGGGTAAACACTAGTTGAAATCCATAAAAAAGTTCTGAATAGTTGTCTATTCTCAAAGGCTTTCTTGTTTCCAGGATGAGTATTTATAATTCATCTACCTATTCATCATACAAACCTCTCAACTTCCTGGATAAATTCCAGGATTCACTACAATTTCTCAAAACATGGCTTAGCTGAAGATGAGGAACCAGTGAATGCTGACATCGACATGAAGCAACAACATTCACCAGGACCTAATAATAGGTGTGTTATTCCATGGGTTCTCAAACTCTCGAGTACGTCAGAATAACCTGGAGAACTTGTTAAACACCAACTGTTGGGCTCCACCCCCACCCCACCCCTCTCTCCTCCCTGGGGTTTTGACACAGCAAGTCTGCAGTGGGGTCAAAGAATTAGCATTTCTAACAGGTTCCCACTTAATGTTGATGTTGACCAGGAACCACACTTTAAGAGCCATTATACTTTATATAATCCAGTCAGACTGGAATGCTTCTCATCTTTTAGGGTTTTCTCATTCCCTTGTTTCTGCCTAGAGTCCTGGCTAAAGTTGTTTGTAAAGTATGGATAAAATCCTGGTATACTTGGAAGATATACACAGAGCACATATCTATTAATTTGTGTAAAGGGTAATAATTGGGAACAGTTAGAATTTCTTTCAAATATTTTATACAAAATACAATACCTGAAATAGGTTTTGAAGGATCTTTGGAGAAAGGAAAATGTTTTACTTCTTTCACGGCATACTTTGCCCTAAGTTGTTTCATTTTGTCTATTTGCAATTGAATCTTTGAGGAATTCTTTTCAATAATCTTCAATCTGAAAAACAGAAGGGTTTTCTTGTGTTTCTTTCAACAAACTTAATTATTTAATCATAAGATTTATAATAAAACAGGTTATATCATTACTTTATTTTGGCTAATTGTCATTTTGAACCATATCAGTGGAAGTTTACAAAGCAGTGCCCCACATAAAGTTTACCAACCTCACAAATGAGGAACAATTTTCTTTCAGCACATCAATAAAATACTATGATCCATAACCTTATTGGAAATGTTTAAGTGTTAAACATAAAAATTTGGCCACAAAGTACTGTCTATTCCCCTTAGTTGAAAATTACCTTTGCTATCTAAAAATTATTTTTGTAATTGTATTAGTTTCTTAGGGCTGCCATAGCAAGTTACCACAAACTTGTTAGCTTAAAACAACAGATATTTATTCTCTTTCAGTTCTGGAAGACAGCGAAAGCAGTATCACTGGGTCGAAACCAGAGAGCTCGAAGGACCAGGCTTCCTCTAGACCGGCCAGGGGAGAACCCACTCCTGGCCTTTCCCGGCTGTTGGGGCTGCTGGCCTTCTGTGGCTGCACCACTTCACTCTCTGCCTTCCCGGTAGCATTCCCTTCTCCCCTCAGCGTCAACACACTCTCTGCCTCTCACTTATAAGGAGACTTATGACACTTCTGAGAGCCCACCTGGATAATCTGAGATAATCTCCCTATCTCAAGATCTTTAATGTAATCACAACTGCAAAGGCCCTTTTCCCAAATAACGTAACATTTCCAGGTTCCCAGGATCAGGACCTGCTATCTTTAGGAGCCATTATTCAGCCTACTGTAGTAATTTTGATGCTAAAGCCAGAGGAATGAAAGCACTTCTTTGAGATAAAACTTGGCCCAGCCAGTGTTGCTCAGTGGTTGAGCACAGACCCATGCACCAAGAGCTCACCAGTTCGATTCCTGGTCAGGGTACATGGGGCTCGATCCCCAGGAAGCAGCCCATAGGTGTTTCCATCTCTCTCTCTTCCTCTCCCTTCATCTGTCTCTAACATATATATATTTTTTAAACTAAAAAAAAAAAAAAAAAAAATACAACAAAAACTGAGTTCCTCCTGCAAAGAGGATCTTAAAGACCAAGAAGCGGATATAAACTTTTAAGTGTTATCTGAAGTTTACTTCCTAGCTTATCACTGATATGTGGCCCAGGAAGAAAATAACAGATTAAAATAAATTAGATACATAAATGTCACAGGGTTTTGGCAAATTAAAAACAAGTTTGTCAGTAGATAACTGTTGCCTGCATCTGGTTATTAGAAAGTTCTTGGTAACTACAGCTTGCAGTATTTATGAAAGAGGGACTGTGGAAATAAAATTTCTTTTGGCTTGCATCCAAATAAACTCATGCTTGTGAAAGAAAGTAATGTTAAAAGGGAACAGACTTTCTGCCCTGGCTAGTGTGGCTCAGTTGGTTGGAGCGACATCCAGAAGGTGGCGGGTTCGATTCTCCATCAGGGCACATACCCAGGTTGCGGGTTTGATTAGGGTGTGTTTGGGAGGAAACTGGTGGATGTTTCTCTCTTTCTTTCTCCCTCTCTTCCTCTCTGGGATTAAAAATATATATATTTTTAAAGGAAATAGATTTTCAAAAGAATTGAAATCAGGGACCCAAAGAGAATGAATGTTCATAGTGATATTATTCACAGCACCAAGGTGGAAACAACCCAAGTACTCATCAACCAATAAGGAAACAAAATATGGTATATACATACAATGGAATATTGTCCAGCCAAAAAAAGGAATGAAGTACCAATATGTGTTATAACATGGTGAAAAGTATCTAATCGTTGCCCCTTTCTGTAGTTACTTTCATAATCTCTTTGACAATTTCACTACAATAAATCTAGTTGAGTGTTATTTACTTGGAATTCTTTGGGCCTCTTACATCTGTGAATTGCTATCTTTCACCAGTTCCAGAAAATTCTCAGCCTTTATCCCTTCAAATATTGTCCGTGTCCCATATTATCTTGTCTTTTAGAGTTGTGATTAAACATAGTAATATGACTTTTTCATGTCTTTCTTTCTAATAGCTTTATTCAGATATAGTTCATATACCTTAACCTAAACTCCTGTAAGGTATACAATTCGGTGAATTTTAGTACATTCAGAGTTGTGCAACCACTACCATTTCTAGTTCCAGAACAGTTCATCACCCCCAAAATAAGCCCTGTTCCCATTAGCAGTCTGCTGAGCAGAAGGTAATTTCTCATGCAGTCCCCAAGGCTGGGACAGTTTTCCCTTGGTTCATGCTATAAGGGTGTAGCCCTTTATCATCCCAGCTTTATACAGGGAGGATTTCCCAGAAGACAAAACCCCTTGGGCAGCAGGTCCTGGGCTCTGTCTTTTGTCCCCATGTCACACTAAAATCTGAAGCTTATGATTACTAATTTTAATAAACGCTCTCAGGGCCATAGAAGCTTTAGTGCTCCTCGTATTTTCCGTCTTCTGTTAGGGTTTTGCCCTGATAATCTGTTACTATCTTGTCAGCTACCTGTTGCTTTTGGAAAGATCTTTAAAAAATATTTTATGGCCCGGCCGGGTGTGGCTCAGCGGTTGAGCATCAATCTAGGATCCAGGCGATAGGGGGTTCGATTCCCGGTCGGGGCACATGCCCGGGTTGTGGGCTCAATCAATGACTCTCTCATCACTGATGTTTCTGTCTCTCTCTCTCCCTCTCCTTTCCTCTCTCTGAAATCAATAAAGATATACTTAAAAAATAAAAAATATTTTATGTAGCACTTTCCCCGGTAGGAAGATCCAACATCTAGCCAGCCATGTTACCAGGTCAAGCTTCTCATCATTTTCCAAGCTGACTGGAAGTTATCTATAGAAACAATGTGCCCATCATTTACCAAATGGAAGGAACACTGGGAATATGAGGCTTCTCAACAAGAGTGCGCATTTTATTCTCTCCCAGCAGGTGACTCGCATTGTGCATCATAGAATTAGTGCTCTGCCCCAGAGGGTAATTATGAAGTTGCACTATCAAATCTTCCACGCAAGAAATTACCTGGAGCAAGACCTGCGACCCTCATTTTGTGATACTACAATGTGCCTCCAATTATCCTAAGACATATAAAATTCTCAAACAGAATTTTAAGTAAAAAATATAGTAATTTCAAGTTGATAGGAAGGGTAACATGAAAACATGGCTTTAAAATAAAATTGTAGTTCAAAAAGACAGAGAGCCACTGGTTATAGTTACACTAGCTAATACTGCGACCATCACCTATTAAGTTATTACTAATACACTTACTTTGCTTCCAGTTGGATTATTCTTGTCCTGTGATACACCAACGTTGTGGGCTCTGCTGCCAAAACTTTAAGTTTTCCATGAAGAAAAAATGCAGTTCTTTGGTCTTTCTTTATTTTCTCAATAACGGCATCGTATTCTTTTTTGATTGAAGAAAGGATGGATTTGTACGCAGTGACATATTCTATTACCTGAAATATGATTTTTCTGCCTATGGTTCTGAATGTTTTTCCAGAACACTATGGATCAAAAGCCTTTCAAATAAAATCATAGATTATTTTTTAAATAAAACATGATGAGCAATTAGAAGTCTAAAATTTTACAAATTTGAGTTTGCACAAATATGACTGGGTATTAAAGACAATATTTTCTGAATATGTGCTCTTTGTAAATTACTAAAGTATTATGAACTTAAATATGAGAGGAAAAGATCATATTTTTCTCTACTTGGTATGAACACATACATTTTATATGAGTTAAAACCAATACCAGGTCTAATTATCCCAATTCTGGATTTTTAAATACAATTACAGATTGTGCCTTACCACCTCCAAACTTAGTCTCTAACTTCATTCAGACCTTAAAATCCCAGATTCCCTTCACCTCCATTTTCTAACCTATCAGCTCCGACTGGCTGATCAATACTCTCGGTTCTTAAACTGCATTTCTATTCCCAACATATAAAGTAAAACCGGAAGAAAACTCTCATCACTATACACGCAGGTTTCCAATGGTGTCTAAGTAGAGAATATCTTTGGAAGGATAATGGAAGAAAATAGCAGCAGCGATGCCTGCAGAGAAGGAAGGGAAAGGGGGTCTGATATCAGAACAGCCTGGCTTTCCTTTGTATACTCTTCCTGAATGGTTCTTTGTCTTTCTTTTGGTTAATCTTGTGTATGTGTTACCCATGCAAATATAAATAGCATTTAAAATAAGTTAAAAAACAAAAATGTTATGATCTGCAGTTTCCAAATTGTGCTCACAAGGATTTCAGAAGGGCCTGATGTGTTAAGAGAATAGATGCGATCAATCCATAATTTTCTCTGAAAGCTGTGATTATGCTTTCTACCCCTGCTACATCTCTAGTCTCTGGTATCCCCTACTAATTTTGTTAGCTAGACAATATCTAGAAAAATTATTCAGGAAGACATCTGGTCTCTCAAGAAATGGTGTAAAATTATTGATCAACGGCAAGTACCAGGAGAGGACATCTGAGTGGGAGATACTGGTTGTCTTTTTGACATGACCATACTGCCTATCGACCCAAATCAGGAGGACTGTCACCCAGGAACCCTTAATAAAACAGAAGCCATTATTCTGTGGTCTTTCCAATTAAACACCCCACGGTTCCTGGCCTTCCTCTACTCCACACACCTATGGGATATGCTACAACAATCCAAGACAACTCGGATACATTAATGGATAGAAAACAGACTTGTAGTGATACACTGATCAGCTCCCACATCTGTCTGCTAGAAGAAATAGATTTCAGAAGAACACTCATGGGAACCTTTGAGAATGCATAGAGAATGCATTGAAATAAAGAAGACAGACTGGCAGGCTGCAGGCACAACAGTTTTACTTGACCCACAAAATATTTTTTAATTTAGGAAATTTCACTTGAAAACCGTATTTCCAGCTTCTCTTGAAAACTACAAAAATGTATCAACATGGAACCACCATTCCTTAACGGCAACAATCAGCTGGAGCTTTAGACTGAGTTGGTTCTTCGTTTTACCACACATGATTCCTTATTCTCTTATAGCCACCCCACTTAACTTTTTTAAATCACCTTCCTCGCCTCTACAGGCATTCAAGTTTGAGACTCCTGTATTAAGGCTTCAATTAAACCCAAGAACACCAGAACTATACTTACCAGGTACCGGGCCTGAGGATGAAGAGGAATGGTGTCCATTCCACCTCAGCTCCTATACATGGATCTAGATTATTTGTACAACACACTACTAGAAACAGCCACTTTCTAGATTCCAGTTGCCTAAATAATTCACCCATTTCTATAGAAGCTCACTCTTTTGAGCTTTGGTCTTCTTTGCTTACTAAGTCCTTGGCTCTATAACCTACCCCCAACTCTATTTATGAGTCTCAGGTCCCGCTTGCTTTGATTCAGGCATGGTTATCCAGGTCAAATACTCTAATTTTAAATAGAATTTGGTATTTGTTCTCTGGTGTCAAGTACTTAGAGATGCAAGTTGATACTTTCATCTTCTGCCCAACTCGATCCTTCCAAGGGTGAGGGAAGATTAGAGAAGGCAGTCATTACTCATTTACTAACAATGCAGTGTGCTGGAACAGCGTGCAAATGGAAAGGCAGACTATCTTACCGAGAAGCTAGAAGAAAAGTTTCTGTAGGTACCAAAATATTTATATTTCAGATGCCCTCCTAGCCATGAAGAATAGGGTTCTTCATCAGGTACAAATGTACAACTTATAACTGTACAATGTACCAATAGTCCGGTAGGGAGAAAAGAACTATAGATGCAGACATTCGCCTTCATTTAATCCCATGTCTTTCCTCACTATAACTACACTAATTTAAAGCAGATGGTTCTTCATGTAAGAAAACTCTGACAAGTGTTGGCATTTGGGTGCGCAAAGATAAGGACGTCACAGTTATAACTTTCCTTTGCCAATGTCACAGTAGAATCTCAGCATGATTCTTGATATTTATGAAACCTATTCAAAATGCTACCTTTAAACACTCATCTAATATATTCCTTAATGACTAGAACACCAAAAGCAATATCATTAATCATAACAACATAAAATCAAGCTAATCTGCCAATGTACCATTCTAATGGATTTTCTAGATGACTTACAAGGAAGACAAGGTTGCTCCTCTATTTTATGCTCTTATGGATGTGCATTAATTTTAATTTCTCTGGTAGGTATATATCACTAACTACTTTCTGTTCACTTTTCCTTATAGGGAAGCACTATGTTTTATTTAAAGAATAAATAAGACTCATAGTATGTATAATATTTAATTATTACAGAAAAGACTGAGATCCTATTTTGCCTGTGCCTGTTTTACTCAGAGACCAATAGTTTACAGAAGTCTTAAAATAAGTAATTATTTCTTCTAAGTAAGGAAAAAACAATGCTGATTTCACTTATTATACTGTCAGGGCGCCTTCCAAGGAGGGGGGGCAGGATTATAAAAAGCAAGGTAAAAAATTTTAGATTAGTGGACAAACTGCAATTGTTCATAAAGAAAAACAGTTATTGCTAAAACCCTGCAAAGTGAATCAAATGTTATATAAGCCATAGCATTTTCTAATATCTCCATATTTCCAATGTTCAGTCTAGTCTAGACCTCTAATCTACAAGGGGTCTCAATTTAACATTCTAGATCAGCAATTTTCAACCAGTGTGCCACAAGAATTTTTAAAACATGCAATACCTGACTACTTAGTCAGGGGCACTGACCTCTTTTCCCTTAAAACAATGACAACACCCAACACAACAATAGCCATTAGGTGCGAATGAATCAAAATTATACCATTTTTTTGTCACATGGGGAAAAATATATTTTTGGGTGTGCCGCAGAATTTTAGTAATTAGTTTATGTGTGCCATGTGATGAAAAAGGCTGGAAATCACTGTGCTAGATCAAATCTAGACCACAATTTTAATGACAACACAAAGAAACCCAAAACAACAAGATTCCTGCTTGCAGCCCAGTCGCTCGCAAATCAGAAAACGCTTTCAGATGGAAGGTCAAAATGTTATTAGAGGGCACAGATATCAAAAACTGATAGCCTGCACTTAAGCTAAAACAGCTGAAACACTCATTAACTGTCTAGTAATAAATGCATCATTACATTTTCCCCGTTTACCCCTTTCTAACAAAATGTATGAACTTCTCAAAATTGACAGATGTAGTCAAACAAGCAGTGGTGTTACTAAGACAGGAATATTAGTTGTCAAGAAAGACCATTTCTTCCCCATGAAAACTCCATTGTCTTAAAAGCATTATGATACCTTGTCAAAAACGTTTCGGTATATGATATAATATTCTTCAGCAGGTCCTTCCTCATTACAGCCCACTCTTTCTGTTTCTGTAATTATATATCTTTGCATACTTTCCAAAAATTCCTTGTCACTTCTACTGATGATAGGAGGGAGAACTGCATATGTATTTATTTCTTGAACCGACATGGCATAATCTGCACACTTATTCACCAGAGAAAAGTTAACTCTTGACTTATTTTTACAACAAAGCCAAAACTTTGACAGGCCTGAAAGAAAAAAGGACCACCCATTAATCTAAAGCTTAAAAGAAATTAAGTCAAATATTCATCTAAAACAAATGTAAAAAAATGTCCCATGGATCTCTAAGATAAATATTTCAGTTTATGAATTAAAAGGCCTAATCTAGTCTACTGTAATATGCTATCCCTCTGGGATAGAAACACAAAACACCAGTCAATATGGAGCTCTTTCCTTACTAACCAAGCATATATATCATATGAGTGGTGGTTTTTCAATACTCAACACTTTCTAACAGAGGTTTAGCATTTTATGTGTTTCATGTGGGAAAACTAGCTTGGAAACCTCCTGATGACACAAACAAGGTCAAATACTTTTCTACTCAAATGCCTCCCTGGCCAAGTTATAATCATCCAGCGCAAAATAGCTACAAACAATTCATCTGTTTATTTTTTAGAATAAAGTTTATTATAATTCTTACCTTTAATATGAATGTACTGACTGAAAAGTAATATCAGAGTTTTTTCTAAGACCCACCCATCAATGATGTCTGAATAGTTTTCAAGCAGCTACACTCCACTGCTCTCTTAGTAAAGAATCATTACCCAATTAGAGTGGACACAGAAGTTGGTCCCTGAGATCATGTGACATTAACATCAAACACAACCCATGGATTGCTTAAAAATGTCTGGCAAGGCAAAACATTTTAACTCCCCTCTCCCCCCATTACAGAAGTATATGATCATGGTATACATTTTGGAAAACATAAACCAAAGAAAATTAATGAGCCCCGCCGGAGTGGCTCAGTTGGTTGAGAGTCATCCTGCGCACTGAAAGGTTACCAGTTTGCACGTTCCATTCCCAGTCAGGGCACGTACCTGGGTTGTGGTTTTATGGCACCAGCCAATGTTTCTCTTTCACATTGATGTTTCTCTCTCTCTCTCTCTCTCTCCCTTCCTCTCTCTAAGCAAGTCCTCAGGTGTGGATTTTTTAAAAAAATTAATGGAAAACCCAAAATTATTCAGAACCCCACCACCCAAAGATATTGACTATTTAATATTTTGGTGTATTTCCTTCCAATTTCTATAAAAATTGGAAGGAAATACACCAAAATATGAAATTATAATATTAAATATAAATTATATTAAATATAATTATAAAAATTAGGATCACTCTATATTCAGTTTTGTATCCTAATTTTTTCACTTAATATTAAAAGTTTAACAACTTTTCCACATGTTAAATAGTTTTCAAAAACATGACTTCTAATGACTGTATAGTATTTCATGGTATGATACACCATAATTTATTTAACCATTCTCCCAATGTGGGACATTTTCATTATTATAAGTAATGCTGTGATGAATAAAAGTCTAAATCAATTTTACCATATTTGGGCAATATATTTGATAACTAATTATCTGAAGTAACAGATATGGCCTATAAATAATGCCCATAGGCCATATATAGGAAGAGGGAGATAGCAAAATAACTTCAAAGTTTAAAAGACCTAATTTACCTTTATTTTGATGAACTAGATAATAAAAACATCAATTTATAAATGAACATAAAGTGGTTCCAACAAGGCAATAACCCATAAATGGATCAACAGTTTTTCTACATGAGAATTCAATTTCTTTATTCATTCAACCAGTATTTATTGAGTGTCTACTAAGTGCCAGGCATTGCTTTATAGCTAGAGATTGAGCAATAAATAATATAAAGTCCCTGGCTGCTTGGAGCTTACAATCTAGTAGGGGGGACGGACTATAAATAAATAATGTGATTTCAGATAATAAAAGATAAAAGTCAAAGGAGGAAGAAATGGTTGATCATTTAGGAGTGGGTGGTCACAAGTGAACACCAGTGCTTCCTATTATTACCCTTAGGATAAAATCCAAGTTCCTTTACTCAGCCTATGAACGCCCTATCAAATCTGGGACTCTTCTCTCTGACCAAATTTAGCCTTTTCATGGCCCTGTCCTCCTCATCACTCCACCCCAACTCCCATGAGCCTGCTCTCTTACCTGAAGGTCTTGCATAATTCTCCCCCAAGCCTGTATTCCCTCTCTCACCCCCCACCCCACTTCTCTGCTCCCCTCCCCCTCAAGGTAGGCAAGTACTGCCACTCTCATTCACTTGGCTTTTTCTGGTTTTCCAGATCTCAGCCTATGCAGCTCCAGGAAAGCTGCTCTGGGATTTCCTTAAACTCGGTCAAGCGCCACTGCTGTTATCCCAGGTTACTGTGCACTTCCTCTATCATGGTGTTATCGTTCCAGCCACTGTGTTACACACTTTGTTTATATTCTGTCTCTCACAGTAGGCTGTAAGTTTAACAAGATCAGGAACCAAAATGTTCTCATTCCCCATTATCCTTCCCCACCCATATGCATTTCAGTGCATGATACTGTTTCTAACAGAGTAGATACCAAACAAGTATTTCCTTAATAATCAAGAATCAATGATCTGATCTGCTCAGAGGACATGACTTGTGGTGCCCTCAAACCAGAACACAGCTGAAGTGACCATGGCCTCGATGAAGAACTATGTGACTATGATCCAGGCAAGGCAATTAGCTCGATAGCATAAACCAAGTAACAGGTTGGGCAGATTAGGATATAAGGGAGGCAGAGGCTGAATATCATACTAAGGAATTTGGATTTTATCCTGAAGGTAAAGTAGAATAATGACATAATCTACTTTTTAGAATATTTTGGAAACAAAAGTGAAGGTGGGCTGGAAAAGGAGAAAAACTAGAGACAGGTGAGAAGTTAGATACTGAAAACTTCCAGAATAAAATTAAGGAAGGCCTGAATTTGGGGGTGGGGATAGGGAGGGGAAGCATAGAGATAGAAAGAGGTGGCCTTAGGAGGGTGCACTGGAGAGGGTTCCGTGGTCTGTGCGGTGGAGGAGCCACGGAAGGACAGACTCCCTCCTAACCGCCCGGCCTGGCCAGGAGAGCATCCTACACATACTCCAAAGTCTTCCTCCCAGGACCTTCGCCACCACTCGCAACGTACAAATTTGGAAATTCTACAACTAAATAACCATTCTGCAGATCTCTTTCCTGTATGGCTTCCTTTAAAAATTTTAAAACCGGGCCTACGGTTTTCAACGTATTAAACTGTTTCACACGACACATCAGGCCCAGAACTTTCCTTACACAAGCAGAG